GGATGGATGTATGGTGACCTCATTTGGAGCGTTTGTGGACGTAGGAGTGCTGCGGATGTTTTCAGTGCCTCTTTTGGTTGCTTGGCGTGTAAATTCTGCTTCAGACGCTGCAGGCTGCGCTGCCCAGTGCCAGCGATCGGGAACGACCACCCATTCTAGGTGCAGTATATACGGAGACATGATGTGTCTATGTGCATCAACTTGCTGTCTGATTTCAGAAGGAGAGATAGGGGGAGTGCGCTGCATGTCGTTTTTCCCCTCTGTTTTCAACCAAAATACTCTTGTTTCCCCCACATTTCCTCATCTTTACTGGTGGGAGGATCGTCCCTTGCATTTGCTGGGAGGACAAAAAAGACATGGATGAAAGAGGAACGTAGAGTGCCTAAACGGGTTAGGGATATGCTTTCTTGGTTGGCGATAATGTTGTCTTGTTGGGTGTTTTCTTTCTCAGTGATGTGGTGGCAGACGTATAATGAAGGGACGAGGCACGACTTCCATTTCTGGTGCCGTGTTTCATTCTGCACAGCAGCTTTTGATAGAAGATGCCAACTAAACTTGGTAAATGTATTATCCCTATGAGTGCCTAAAAAGAGTGAGTTGCTGGGAGAATCCTCACTGCATCTCACTAGAAGATGTTCGGCACGCCCCTGCATTTGTGAGTGTTGACGATAGAAACAGAGAGAGAGCACACAGAGGAGGGTGACGCAGCATGTGTATGTTTATGAAGAGAGCAGCGGGATGTGCGGACGAGGGGGGAATGTGGGTTGAAAAATACAAAGTGCGGCACCAACGCTCATTCCTGCAGTGCTGTGTGGATTCCCTGTGTTCCTTGCGTCTGGTGACTCTGACTTATTCAGGATGGTTGTTTTTCTCTGTGGTGTGGTATATATATGTGTCTTTGTGTGAGTGTCCCCAAATAACAGTGTTTAAGCACCTCGCTGTGTCTCCTCAACATTTGATCCTCTCTCTCTGCTTTCATTCACTCACCTTAACTTTGCTCGGTTTCTGCTTCGTTTCGTTAAGGAAAAGTACACCACAGAGAATCATGCTTCCAACAAGAGGGAATGATCGGCGAAAGACTCCTGAGGGCGACACCGTGGCCACAGAGCGAGAGCAGCCTCAGCGGCCGCGTAGGGGAGTGGGAACAAGAACAGGTTCAGACAAGAGCGATGCTCAGCCCCCAGCGTCACGTGCAAAAACGGAGACTGCTAATAAACCCAGGTGGACTCTCGATAGTACAGTGGAGGAAGTTCAGCTACAAGGAAATCTTCCTCCAGTGAACATGAAACTGAATGACTTTCTTCGTGGGCGTCTTGGTGGTAGAGGTGTAGAGGAAGTGAATAAGAATGTCAGTATGGAAGCGTTTGCCATCAGACCAAAAAGATATATAAAAGACGAGAGGCTGTTGAACGTCATACTCGCGATGCCGTCATTCAAGGCAATAGTAGAGGAAATGAGATACGGGGAAGCACAGAGTGAAGCTGAACCCAAACTCAAAGAGACTGGTGTGTATTCTCTCCGACAGTGGGACGTGTATGATAAAAAAGAGCAAGTTAACCCTTTGGTGAGGGGAGTGCTAAATGCAGCTCTTGACGCAATACGGAGATACGAGGAGGAGGGGGAGGAACGCCGACGACAACTGAGGGATGAAGATAAACGCCGACAAGTAAGGGAACCTCTGCCAGGCGTCTACGAGTCTATATTTAACGCTACATGGAATCATGTGGTGGAGGTCCCTGGTGACAGTGAAGGAGTCGGAATGGAGGTGAGGGAAGGCAGGCCGTCGAGGGAATGGACAGACGAAGAGGTGGGCTATGTTTCTCTTGGTGGTGCAATAAAGGGGAAGAGCAAAAAGAGCACCAGTGCAGAGGGGATGGCGAAAACGAAGGAACCACTTGCTGAGCTAATTGTACTCCATTCTGAAAAAGGCTGGCCGTACACGTGGTTAATGGCAGAAGCCAGTTGCGACTGCCACATCGGCCGCGAGACGGAACGTGTTTGGCGCATCATTAAGCGTGATGTAGACGAATGGTTTGCGTGTCGTGGTGGGGATGATGAGGGGCCGGAAAAGCGTCTTTTGATTGGGACACCAGGTATAGGGAAATCAATGGGGACTGGCTCGTATCTCCTGTATCAACTGTTGCACTATGACAAGGAACGACTTCCAGTTGTTGCATACTTCATTAAAGATTACGTGTTTATCTTTCACAACGCCAGAGGTGAAGAACAAGGACGCGTGGAGTACTACGATAACCTCGAAGAGGGAAGGCGTGCTGTGGTACGTCTCTCTCTTACTGTGAGGGGATACATTATTTACAATGTGGCAAAACAAGGAAGTGAACCTCACCACGCTTTGCCTCCCACTGCTTGGGGCATGATTGTTGTGAGCTCTCCAAACGAGGAAAACTTCAAAGGATGGTATAAGCAGTCGGAAGCACTGTGTATCATAATAGATTGCCCTAAGAAGAGTGAACTGAAAGCGAGGTGTATGTGGATACACCACGATAAAGCAGAGAAGGAACAACAGAAAGAATGGAAGGTTGTGGAAGAGCGCATAAGCAAAGTGGGACCGATTCCCCGCTGTGTTTTTTGTAGTGAAATTGAGTACAGAGGTCGTATTGATGCGGTCGACGAGGCGTTGAGCTGTATCACACCATCCAATGCCGACCTATACTTTGGAGTGCACAAAGGATGTGCTTGG